ACTGATGAGGAGAGGCTGAAGGAACTGGGGTTATTTAGTCAGCAGAAAAGAAGAGTGAGGGAGGATTTGATAGCAGCCTTCAGCTCCCGAAAGGGGGGTTCCAAAGAGGATGGAGCTCGGCTGCTCTCAGAGGTGGCAGATGACAGAACAAGGAGTAATGATCTCAATTTGCAGTGGGGGAGTTCTAAATGGGTCACCTAGGGAGGTGGTGGAATCTCCATCCTTAGAGGTTTTTAAGACCCCAGCTTGACAAAGCCCAGGCTGGGATGATTTAGTTGGGGTTGGCCCTGCTTTGAGCAGGGGGTTGGACTAGATGACCTTCTGAGGTCTCTTCCAAATTTAATCTTCTGTGATTCAGCTTCTCTTTCTGTTTGTGCATTTTCAGCAGAATTGTTTTTACTAAGTTCCAATCAGTGAAGTTAATGGGGTTGCACAGGTATCACTGGAGGCTGGATTTGGCCTGCAGAACTCTTGTAGGCCATGATGCTTGAGAAGAAGTTAGCTTGACTCAGATCGCAGTTTTAACTTGCAGGTCTGAAAGCAATTGGGGGCAGTGGAGGAGTCTCTCTCCACACACACACACCCCTTGTAAACTGAGCATACTTTGATATGACAAATGGACATTAATCGCATGGTTCGACTCGTAAGCTCTTTAGAAGCACATTCAGAACTGTATTTGGAGCCTTTTGCTATACAGTCGTTTCTCTGTACACTCACATTCTACAGTCCAAATACAGGGAGGTAGATTTGAAACTGTTTTTGAGTTTAACAGCTTGAGTTATTTTTGCTTCCCAAAGTAAAGTTGTATTTTGGAAATGCAAGGATTTCCATTTGAGCCAGGGCAAAATCTTGTGTAAGTTACCCCTCTCCAACATAAAGCCTGTGCAGCAGTGCTGGTTTATCAGCTGCTAGTTGAGATAATTTAGCTTCTGTACAGCCCTTAGAGAATGACCTACTGCCCCTTCTGAAGCCAAAGAAACTGTGAGTGGGGATATGAGTGAGGATAAATAAATTCTTCTCATTGTCTGAAAGTGCCTCTGAGATAACCGATCTTGTACAAGCTGACTTTTGCAATTTGATGGGGAGTGCAGGACAGGGGCAGCAAACTATGTCCAATCATTAACTTAAAAATTTCCCTGGGTTAAATGCTAATCACATAGCACTGTTAAAGGAGCGCACATGCACCACCCAAAGCTACCTCTGAATGTTGTCAAAAACTAAACAGAGCAACTATCTTGGTTGGTTTGTGTCCCCTGAAGTGCTGCTCTGTCACCCTTGTTGCCAGTGATAGTACCAGCAGAGCTATTCCGGTTTAATGATGATTAATATAGAACTGCCAACTGCTAGGCTTTTACTGTCTCTTTCCAGTCCTGTACCCCCTTGTCTGTATCATCCCCAGAACTTGTCCTTTCCTTAATATTACTTCAGTAAACTTTAGTCATCCCCGTATCATTTCCTGTCTTGACTGTTTAAATTCATGCTTTCTAAATCAAAAGGTCTTCAAATGTTTTCATAGTGTCTAATTAAAATATGGTCCACACTACGTCATAGACACCTTCCCTGCAATTCACCAGTGAATAAAACCACTCTGGCAACTACAGCAATTGTTTCTGTGGAAAAGCAATAGCTGGAAAGGATTTATTGTGTGTTTAGCTATCTGAACATCAGTGGCTATTAGCCAGAATGGGCTAATATGCAACACCATGCTCTGAGTGTGCCTAGCCTCTGTTTGCCAGAAGCTGGGAGTGGACATCAGGGGATGGATCAATTGATGTTCTGTTCATTCCTTCTGAAACACCCTGGCATTGGCCACTGTCAGAAGACAGGTTTCAGAGTAGCTGCCGTGTTAGTCTGTATCCGCAAAAAGAACAGGACGACTTGTGGCACCTTAGAGACTAACGAATTTATTTGATCATAAGCTTTCATGGACTACAGCCCACTTCATCGGATGCATAGAATGGAACATATAGTAAGAAGATATATCTAGATATACACACACACAGAGAAGGTGAAGTTGCCATACAAACTGTAAGAGGCTAATTAAGATGAGCTAATATCAGCAGGAGAAAAAAACTTTTGTAGTGATCATCAAGATGGCCCATTTAGACAGTTGACAAGAAGGTGAGAGGATACTTAACACGGGGAACTAGATTCAATATGTGTAATGACCCAGCCACTCCCAGTCTCTATTCAAACCCCAGTTAATGGTATCTAGTTTGCATATTAATTCAAGCTCAGCAGCTATACTTTTTTATAATCTTAGCCCGGCAGAAGAGTCTGTCCTATCTCGGGGCCTCTCCTTTTTTCCCTCCAGGCCCATGAACATGATACAGTTCTGTGGTGACCTAGAATCCTACTTTTGAAGTCTGTGACTCAAAGAATATTTCCAACACATAGCTGAACAACATATTAACCCACAGAATCCTTACTATCAACACTACAAAAAGAAGGATTCTGCGTGGACTCCTCCTGAAGGTCAAAACAACAGACTGGACTTCTACATAGATTGCTTCCATCGATGTGCACAGGCTGAAATTGTGGAAAAGCAGCATCACTTGCCCCATAACCTTAGCCGTGCTGAACACAACGCCATCAACAGCCTCAGGAACAACTCTGACATCATAATCAAAAAGGCTGACAAAGGAGGTGCTGTCGTCATCATGAATAAGTTGGAATATGAACAAGAGGCTGCTAGGCAGCTCTCCAACACCACTTTCTACAAGCCATTACCCTCTGATCCCACTGAGGATTACCAAAAGAAACTACACCATCTCCTCAAGAAACTCCCTGAAAAAGCACAGGAACAGATCTGTGCAAACACATGCCTAGAACCCCAACCAGGGGTATTCTATTTGCTACCCAAGATTAATAAACCTGGAAATCCTGGAAGCCCCATCATCTCAGGCATTGGCACTCTAACGGCAGGATTGTCTATGTGGACTTTCTCTTCAGGCCCTACGCTACCAGCACTCCCAGCTATCTTCGATACACCACTGACTTCCTGAGGAAACTACAATCCATCGGTGATCTTCTTGAAAACACCATCCTGGCCACTATGGATGTAGAAGCCCTCCACACCAACATTCCACACACAGATGGACTACAAGCTATCAGGAACAGTATCCCCAATAATGTCATGGCAAACCTGGTGGCTGACCTTTGTGACTTTGTCCTCACACACAACTATTTCACATTTGGGGACAATATATACCTTCAAGTCAGTGGCGCTGCTATGGGTACCCGCATGGCCCCACAGTATGCCAACATTTTTATGGCTTCCTTAGCTCTCGTCCCCTAATACCCCTGCTCTACTTGCACTACGTTGATGACATCTTCATCATCATGGAAAAGAAGCACTTGAATTCCACCATGATTGCAACAATTTCCATCCCATCATCAACCTCCGCCTAGACCAGTCCACACAAGTGGTCCATTTCCTGGGCACTACTGTGCTAATAAGCGATGGTCACATAAACACCACCCTATACCGGAAACCTACTGACCGCTATACTTACCTACATGCCTCCAGCTTCCATCCAGGACACACCACACAATCCATTGTCTATAGCCAAACTCTAAGATACAACCGCATTTGCTCCAATCCCTCAGACAGAGACAAACACCTACAAGATCTCTATCAAGCATTCTTAAAACTACTATACCCACCTGCTGAAGTGAAAAAACAGATTGACAGAGCCAGAAGAGTACCCTGAAGTCAGCTACTACAGGACAGGCCCAACAAAGAAAATAACAGAACACCACTAGCTGTCACCTTCAGCCCCCAACTAAAACCTCTCCAGCACACCATCAAAGATCTACAACCTATCCTTAAAAATGATCCCTCACTCTCACAGATCTTGGGAGACAGACCAGTCCTCGCTTAAAGACAGCTCCCCAACCTGAAGCAAATACTCTCCAGCAACCACACACCACACCACACCACACCACAAAAACACTAACCCAGGAACCTATCCTTGCCACAAAGCCCGATGCCAACTCTGTCCACATATTTATTCAAGTGACACCATCATAGGACCTAATTACATTAGCCACGCCATCAGGGGCTCATTCACCTGCACATCTACCAATGTGATCTATGCTATCATGTGCCAGCAATGCCCCTCTGCCATGTACATTGGCCAAACCAGACAGTCTCTACGCAAAAGAATAAATGGACACAAATCTGACATCAGCAATCATAACATTCAAAAACTGGTAGGAGAACACTTCAACCTCTCTGGCTACTCAGTAAAAGACTTAAGGGTGGCAATTCTGCATCAGAAAAGCTTCAAAAACAGTCTCCAACGAGAAACTGCTGAGCTTGAATTAATATGCAAACTAAATACCATTAACTTGTGTTTGAATAGCGACTGGGAGTGGCTGGGTCATTACACATATTGAATCTATTTCCCCATGTTAAGTATCCTCACGCCTTCTTGTCAACTGTCTAAATGGGCCATCTTGATTAGCACTAAAGTTTTTTTTTCTCCTGCTCATATTGGCTCATCTTAATTAATTAGCCTCTTCCAGTTTGTATGGCAACTTCCACCTTTTGTGTGTGTGTGTGTGTGTGTGTGTGTATATATATATATATATATATGTATATATATAAAATCTTACTATATGTTCCATTCTATGCATCTGATGAAGTGAGCTGTAGCCCACGAAAGCTTATGCTCTAATAAATGTGTTACTCTAAGGTGCCACAAGTACTCCTGTTTTTGTCAGACAGGATACTGGGTTAGATGGACCATTGGTCTGACCCAGTATGGCTGTTCTTATGACATTATACAAGAGAAGCTGGAAACAGATGAGAGCCAGCACAATGCAACCAGACAGCTCTCTGGGCTACCGGTAATCCATGGACTACTCGTTAGGAACCGGGAGCTCCAGAATGCTGCAGTGACAGACACTTACTTTTAGGGAAGCCAGGCCATATTGGCCCCATCTAGCTTCCTATCTCCCTCCATTCAAATGTGCTCCCCTGCTTTTACAGCCCCCCTATATCCTCATTCAGCTCTTCTCTCTGACCTGTACATAGTACTCCTTTGCCTGCCTGCTCCACTCCCATTCCCTGCTACTCTGCAGGAGGTAGATGGAGTAGCTCATGAAAGAGTAACTGTAACCCTTTAGAGCTTCTGAGTCGCTTCCTCTCTGTCTTGCCTTGCTTATCTTGTTCAGTTTAGTCTGTGATTTTTCTCCTAAAGCAATGTGTGATATGTGTGGAGGACTCTGTTTAAAAAAAACAAAAATGGCAGGTGCAAGGAATGTTGGCGTACAATGAGGGGAGAAGAATAACCCCTACAGATTTCTTCATCCAGTCATTTATTTAGTTGGGTTTTTATGTATTTTAGTAAATGCTCCCATTCAAAGCTCCAGGTGTTCTTGGCATTCTTGTAAAAATTAAAACCAATGAAAAATACAGACCAGTCAATTACCCCAAATCAAATGCCATCAATTGGCTGAATATTCCTAGCCCCATAATTTTGAGCAGAAGTTTCTGTATGCAGTGGAATTGCCCAACAATGGACTGTTCCATTATGACTAAGGTTGCTAGGATTACATACTTCAGTTCCCTGCTCTCTGAAAAGAATGGAGCACAAAGAGAGCTGGGGAAATGGTGTACTCTTTCATGAATGCCCCTAATGAGAAACCATTCTGATGATCTTAAAATGGTGTGTTGTGTACTGTGCAAGGTATGGAAGCATAAAGCATCCCTAGAACTGACGAGAGGATGCCTTTAGCCACTAAGTTGTCACCTCTCTGGCCACTTGAAGTGTTTCAAAGGGTTGTACAGGTTGACGGAGGACACGAGTTCCAAAAGGCTGGTTAGTACAATAAGGAACCTGTGAGGAAGAGGAATAAAAGGGAACTGAGGTTGTGGGAGCAGTTTAGAAGATCACAAACAAAATAGTCGCAGCAGTTGCCATTTTAGTCTAGTATTAGTAGGTACTGATATAGTACTAACTACTGATGGTTGGTAAAATTATGTTTGTAAAATATGGCCTGAAGTTGTTAATACTTAGCACTTATATAGCAGATGGCAGAGCCACACAATGAAACATTTTGAACTGCAGGCAGCAGGTTGGGGGATGGGAAAAGAGAGCCATGAAATGGTTTAACAAGTCGGTCTTTCCCTGTCTCCCCCTGTGACAAAGAGAGAGAACCTCTATCTACTCTGTGAGTGGTTGCAGATGTATATTCCACTCAGGTGTGCATGCCCAGTGCACGGAAACCAGAGAACTTTGCCTAGCAGTATCTGTAAATGTGGTGCTTGTACCCTCCAAGCACTTAGCCCCTCCCCTGGCTGTTTAAGAGCAGCACTGCCCCAAACCCCCTCAGTTCCTTCTCACCACCTGCTTCTTGAATTGGAGAACTCGGTGTGGTTTTTACCTCCTGCTTTGTTTCACCGTGCAGTCTGTGGGTTTTTTCCTCTGTATAGTTGTTATATTAGCTTAGAAGTACCTCTATGTTTAGTTTATTAATAATCGGATTTGCCCCATGTGGTACCCTCACTGGGATTTAAACACTGCCCATCATGTGGGGTAGCTATCCACAGTAGCAAACCCCTGCACTCAGTGTTTGTGCCTTGAGAAAGGGCACATTAAAAAGAGGTGCTCCATCTGCAAGTTGTTCAAGAAGAGAACGCAAGTGGCCAGAGACTTGCACGTGAAGCAGCAACATCTTCAGGAGCAGGTCACGAGGCCTGCTTCAGCATGTCAAAGAGCATCTGATCCAGCATGGGCTGTTCGGCCAGATTCATGTTCGTTTCCCAGGTGTTCTCCTTAACAAACAGCCTGAATACTCAAGGCTGAAGCCATGTGCCTCAGGAGGTCCTGATACAATTTAAAATTCTCAGGTACAGGAAAGGAAGAATCTGGCACTAGTCATTTGGTGACGAAGGGGAAAGAAGTAAGCAAATGGAATCTCCTACAGCATCTGTAACACCTGTTCAGGTGCAGGCAGTTTAGTAAGAGCAACCCATGTCTGATTGCAGCATCGAGGTTCAGGAGAGGAGGCTGCCAGCAGAATAGGTGACCTCACTCTGGACTGAGCTAAGGATTAGGATCTTGCTTTCTGCAGAACATCACAGGGGTTCTCAGGAGGCCGCTATAGGGAGGGGCACGGTATTGGTGGAAGTAAGTGAAGGACCCCATCACTGCTATGGGAGTGGTGCTGATCTCAGTGCTGATGGTGATCCCCAGGAGGTCACGACAGCTTTTTAAGAGCTATACTGAGAAGGTGAGGGAGAAGAGGAAGATATCCCTTCTAGCCTTAGAATCTATGAATCAATTAAATTGCTGCATATTCTCCGGTCCTCCACTTCAGGGAGAGTGGGTCCAGAATCACTTGATCAATCACTTCAGCAGCAATTTATCCCATAATCATGAGTGGTCTCTGAAGACCAATGTGCTGAGGTCCGTCTTCACAGAATGGGGCATCTCAATTATAGGCCTGTTTGCAGCAAGAGACAACAAAAGGGTTCCATCAGTTTTGCTCTTGTGTGAATCTCAGACTAGGCTCCTTAACTGATGCCTTACAGCTAAACTGGGGATCTGTGCTGATGTATGCCTTTTTCCTGATCCTGCTCATTCCTCAGGTTATTCTCAAACTGAAGCAAGACCATGCCAAACTAATTCTCATTGCTCCAGCCCAGCAGAGACAATTTTCGTTCTCCGACCTCCTTACTCTGAGTATGTCACTAGCTTTCCCCCCACACCACCCCAATTTCTCGTCCTCTTTATCCTGACCTATTGCCGCAGCACCACGGTCAAATTTGGCATCCAGCATTGAGCAAGTCTGCACCTCTCGATACGAATGCTGCATGGCTAGATGAGGAGGTGGAATGCTGTTTAGAAGCTGTTAGAGAAGTGCTATTTAATAGTAGAAAACCTTGCACAAGAGCTACCTATTTTGCCAAGTGGAAGCATTTTCTATTTGGTCACTGACCCAAGGGATCCATCCAATGTTAGCCCGCATTCAGGACACTTTGGAGTATCTGTTACATCTTCAATCCTCTGGCCTGTCTCTCAGCTCCTTGAGGGTCTACTTATTGGCCATCTGAGCATTCCATCCTCTGATCCAAGAGAAGTTAATTTTTTCGAACTCCATAGTAGTGAGGAATCATTCTTTTTCCACCGGTGAAAGAAGCAGTTTCTTTGTGGGACCTTAATACTGTGCTGGCAGTCCTAATGGGTCCTCCATATGAACCCCTGGCAGCTTGTTTTGTCTTTCCTGTGCCAAAAGACAGCTTTTCTTGTTGCTATCACATATGCAAGACAAGTAAGTGAGCTGTAAAGTTTAATGGCAGAGCCCCATATACTTAGCTTTTCACAGACAGTGGCCCTTCCTCTATTATGATGGCATATGCACTAGCTTAGGCCACACCTCTACAAAGGTTATGTGCACATTCAACTGGGGCCCAAGTGACACTAATGGCATTTATCAACGATATTTTGATATTGGACATTTGAAGGGCTGCTGTCCAAACTATGCTATTATGGCTGCGTCTACATCAGATGCAAACATTGGGAAGGCCATTATGTAGTCATTCTTTAAGTAGATTCCTAGCCCACTTCCTATTGATATGACTTGTAAATCACCTTAGTGGAATATGATGTCTACAACTACTCGAAGAAAAGACAGTTACCTACCTGCATGTTAATTGTTGTTCTTTGAATAGCATCACTGTGGGTGCTCTACTTCAGGTGCGCATGCACCTCTTGAGCTCTTGAGCAGAGATTTTTCATTAGCAGTGTCCATTTGGCCCGTGCACCAAGACTATACAGGGCTGCATGGGCGAACTGCCCTCAGTTCCTTCTCAACTGTCTCAGCCTGAGGTGGAGCCTTAACATGTGTGACTTGAGCATATCTTGGCTATTCTTTTTTTGTTAGTTTAGTATTAGCTTGTAATTAGCGGATAAGTGAGAGGATTTACTTTGTTCTTCTCTCTCTATTTGGGGAGCCTTACCTCCCGCAGGGCATGCCTGGCTCTGCCAAGTTTCAAATGCTGCTTCTCTTGCTGGGAGGCTATCCTAGTATGCACCGGACACTGTGTCTGCTGCCCGGGAGAGTCTCACATTTCCCAGTAGCATAACTTCTGCCTGGCCCTCAACTCCAGAGGAAGAAAGAACCAGGAGATCAAGTTGAGGCTGCTGCAGATAGAGCATTCCCTTTGTCCTGCTTCAGAGTCAGGTCAGGAGACACCCTCCCATGCCCGGACATCTTTCTCCAGGCAAATCTAGAGCCCCTTTGATCTTGGCTAAGGTCTCCCCTAGGAAGGGGAAGACTTTAGAGACCTCAACAATGGTGGCTCCCATCATAAGGAGCCTACTTCCAAAAGACCTTGGTTCCCTGCTAAATCAATGGTCTCCGAAGCCTCAGCTCCTCAGCTTGGTATTATAGACATGAAAGACTCCTCCGGAACCAGTGGCGCTGGAAAGTCCCAGAGCTCTAAGAACAAAGATGGCTCTGACCAAGGTGTCAGTGCTGTCTACATGCGACAAGGAAAGTAGGGATAAGAACTCTTCCAGATTGGAGTTCCACATTGAACTCAGCTCTGTCACTGGTACCTCTCCAGTTGGGGCCTCAGTACTGTGCAAACCAAATCTACAGTGCTGTCTGCTTTGATAACCAAGCATACCACTATATAAGTACCAGTCCTCCATACGATTCCACAGTAATTTAGGTACTCAAAAGACTTATCAGTGGCAGATGAACCGGAATCTCCACTGCTTGGGGGTATGGAATGCCTCTTGGTATTGTGACACGGGTCCCTGAGGTACCATCACCCTTCAGTACCTCCTGATTCAATGTCATTTTCTGCTGGTGCCCCCCATTAGAGGATACTGAGGAGGAGGGAGACCTTCTTTTAGTCTTGTCCCTCTTGTACAGGGTTCCCCTATCCATCCATAGAAGAACCCACTCTTTCACAGCCAGAGAGAAGACTCTTGTGGTCGTCACCATGGGTGGGACCAATCCTAGATGCCACACTCTCCCATATTGGCCCCTGTAATGGCTATACTGAGATCCCTGGGCTGTGTACAGACAACAGTTTGGCTCAGAAAGATCTATTCACTGATCGGAAACAGCGTAGACAAACAAGTCTTGATTCCTCTTCATATAAAGGACTCCATAGACTGGTGAAAAGATCAACTCACTGTTGGTGCAGGCATTTCTTCATCCAAATCCAACAATCACTGTGACAATGGATGCATTCCTGTTGGGATGGGGCGCTCACCTCAGTACTTGCTCAGGGCAAATGGTTGCCTCAGGAAACCAATCTCCACATCAGTCTCTTGGAACTCAGGGCAGTCAGGAATGCCTGCCTTCATTTTCTGCTCCTCATCGGGGCAAATCAATCAGGATCATGACAGACAATGTAGCCTGCATGTTCTATATCAACAAGCAAGGAGGAGCAAAATCCCCCTCCCTGTGCCAAAGCAATAAAGCTGTAGAGCTGGTGTATAACCCATCACATCCATATTTGAGCTGCCTACCTCCATATCACCCAGGACACCTCAGACAATGCTCTCAGTAAGCCTACGAATGGGAATTGGCCTCTCAAATCCAAGGTATATTCCAAATTTGGGGATTTCCAGAGGTGGATCTCTTTGCTATCTTCAGGAACAAGAACTGTCATCTGCTCTGCTCAAGAGGAGATCTACACCATCAGTCTCTGGGAGATGCCTTTCTACTATCTCAGATGAAGGTTCCATTCTATGCGTTCCCCCTAATACTGAGACTGATGAACAAGATAAGACAAGGCCAGGGTAATCCTTTATAGTCCTGACTTGACTGAGACAGGCTTAGTATCCTTGCCTGCTTCATCTGTCCATCTACCTGGCAATCAAACTTCCAATCATTTACTGTCTCTACTCCCAAGATGTAGGTCATTTACACCAATCCAAGCTAGGGGTCCTCTGCCTCAGGGCATGCTTTCTTGATGGTTTGTGGGGTTAGAGCCTACCTGTTCTGTGGAAGTACAAGTGTTACTGAACAGTAGAAAGAAGTCAACCCAAATCACTTGCTTGCAGAAGTGGAAGAGATTCAGTTTTTCATGTCAGCTCTAGCAACTTGTATCCATCTCCTTATCTCGGCTATCCTAGATTTCCTGTTAGACCTAAAGAAGTCAGGGTTATCAGTTAGCTTGATCAAGGTTCACTTGGCCACCATATATATATTTTCATCCTTTAGTAGAAGCGTTTTCTATATTTGCTCACCTTATGTCTTTGAGGTTTATTAAAGGTTTGAGGAAACTCCCAAGTCAGGGACCCCACCCCAACATGGGCTCTACATTTCATGCTTAGATGTCTTACAAGACCTCCATTTGAACCAATGGCAACATGTTCTTTGCTTCACTTATCGATGAAGACAGCCTTTTTAATGGCTATCCCATCGACCTGTAGAGTGGGAGAAATTGGGGCCTCCTAAGAAATAGATGGAACCCCTCCCCCTTTACAATGTTTTTCAAAGACAAGGTTTCTTTAAACTGCACCCTAGATTCTTACCTAAGATATCTGCCTTTCATTTTAAGCATCCCATTCATAAGAATGGCCATACTGGGTCAGAGCAAAGGTCCATCTAGCCCAGTATCCTGCTTCCGACAGTAGCCAATGCCAGGTGCCCCTGAGGGAATGAACAGAACAGGGAATCACCAAGTGATCCATCCCCTATCGCCCATTCCCAGCTTCTGTCCATCCTGGCTAATAGCCATTGGTGGACCTATCCTCCATGAATTTATCTAGTTATAGTCTTGACCTTCACAACATCCTCTGGCAAAGAGTTCCACAGGTTGGCTGTGTGTTGTGTGAAGAAATACTTCCTTTTGTTTGTTTTAAACCTGCTGCCTATTAATTTCATTTGGTGACCCCTAGTTCTTGTGTTATGAGAAGGAGTAAATAACACTTCCTTATTTACTTTCTCCACACCAGTCATGATTTTAGACTTCCTATCGTATCTCCCCCCGTTCCCCTTAGTTGTCTCTTCCAAGCTGAAAAGTCCCAGGCTTTTTAATCTTTCCTCATAAGGCAGCCGTTCCATATCCCTAATCATTTTTGTTGCCCTTTTCTGAACCTTTTCCAATTCCAATATTTCTCTTTTTGAGATGGGGTGACCACATCTGCACACAGTATTCAAGATGTGGGCGTACCATGGATTTATATAGAGACAATATGATATTTTCTGTCTTATCTATCCTTTTCTTAATGATTCCCAGCATTCTGTGAGCTTTTTTGACTCCCGCTGCACACTGAGTGGATGTTTTCAGAGAACTATCCACAGTGACTCCCAAGATCTCTTTCTTGAGTGGTAACAGCCAATTTAGACTCCATCATTTTATATGTATAGTTGGGATTATGTTTTCCAATGTGCATTACTTTGCATTTGTCACCCAGTTTTGTGAGATCCTTTTGTAGCTCTTCGCAGTCTCCCTGAGACTTAACTATCTTGAGCAATTTTGTATCATCTGCAAATTTTGCCACCACAAACGCACACACTACAGACAACAAACTTACCCCAAGGGTCCTCCTTTACCTGGAGAACTCCCTCATGAAACTCTTGTTAGCTGCTCCTGTTTGCTAGCTCCTCTGGTCGCTTAGGAGCGGGCTTTTTAAACCTCCATTCTCTCTGCATTAGAGTCTCAACTCTTGATATTTGGTGCAAAGGAACTGAGATGGGTCGGAGCAGCATTGCCCTAGGAACCAGAAGATGCACACGTCATCTCTGTGGGTAGTGATAGGTAAAGTGATCAGTCTTTTGCCACATGCACTCCTGAGTGGAATATGCATCTGCATCCACATAAAGAATAGTTACCATACAGTCTCTTTTCTTAAGCTCCAATTTGCATGTGCAAATTAAACATTTGTGTTCATTTGCTTTTGATTAACACCCAGAACCACAGGATTGATCTGGATCACTGTACAAGAAGAACTTTCATCAGCTGCTTAGAGTCCTTCCTTCCTTAGTGTTTGTTTAGGCTGGGAAACTATTCTGCTATAGCTGTCTGTCAGTTTCCCTGTGTAGACAAGCTCTTAACGCACCTGTACACCTCATTTTTACTTCAGTGCTAATTCTTTATTACACTGTAGTATATTGTTATGCTGGGAGGCTTTAATGGTTGCCTGAAGCGGGTCTTTGAGCTATAAAGTCACAGACTTCTTTATAGCCAATGGGTATGCTAAACACCGTTCTTTCAGGGTAAATGGAAGGAGCAATGAAATTCCTCTTTATGTAATGATAGCTAGAAACAATTGGAAATTGCTGCTGAAGGCACTGGGTCACATGACACAGCCTGAGCAGGGCTAAGTTGTGTGAGCTGAGTGTTTTTCCTGGACTGTAAGCAAATGCAGGGGCTAGTGGTTGTTTGCCAAACAATGTGCCTGTGAGAGGCAGAAAGCCAGTAGTCAGTGAGAGGAGCAGTCGTAAATATGGCCCTGTTGGAATGAAGACAGAGCTCCAGAATTGATTGGAGGGGCAGACTAGGAAATAGGGAGTAAAGGAATTGCCAGTTTGTTTCTGTTGTGTTCAGGAAGACAGGATTGTGTGTTTGTTCTTTGCAAATAAACAGGATTGTACCAAAGAAAATACCTGACCCATATCACCAATTTCTCCTATTGGAAACTGCTCTGCAAGGTCCTGAATATTGGCTAATCTCTCAGGCCAAAGGGGGCATAACTGGTTTCAGGAGTGGGATAAGAGTGACAAAGGAGAGAAATTATGAGCTGGTACTCCTGTTGAACCAACATGGAACAAATCATAGAATATCAGAGTTGGAAGGGACCTCAGGAGATCATCTAGTCCAACCCGCTGCTCAAAGCAGGACCAATCCCCAATTTTTTTTGCTCCAGATCCCTAAATGGCCCCCTCAAGGATTGAACTCACATGCCTGGGTTTAGCAGGCCAATGCTCAAACCACTAAGCTATCCCTCCCCCCAAATGGTGGAGATGCTTGCAGAAATCAAAGATGACCAAAAGAACTTCAAATAAGGACTTCACAGAAGGAATGTAAGCAATATCTGAAGGCTTCCCAGAAAGGGCTTAAACCACCAGTGGTCAGAGATAAAATCTTTGTTTGGGCAGCAGCCAGAAAGTGTTCAGACGGATCTGGAAGTCATACTACAAAATTTCCAGTGCAGACAGGCAAGGTGGACTGATGAGGTGACCAACAAACTGACTATCATGGACCAAAAGATGTTCCACATAATAGGGGAGACCAAGAAATATCTGCTCAACTTGATGCTTGTTAATGGAGACAGCTGTAACAAGGACTTTAGGGAGCTAAAAAATCACCTGGAGAAGGAGCTCAAAGGGTTGCATACTATATTGGAAATTAGCAGTCTGGATTAGGAATTGGGCCAGACTGAGAATTTGGATAAAACAGGATATTTACAACAGTTTTATACCCTTTTTCTAACCCAGAGAGGTTAGATTGTTCAAGCTCAGGTAATACAAAAGCCATTGGGGGCGGGGACGACAAGGATACGGTATAAGCTCTTGATATCCAGCTAAGATCTAGCTATCAATCTGAGCTGACCCAGGCACAGCTAAGGGCTAGAAAAAGAGGGCAGGAACAGACCCCACCTCAACTGGAATAGGACATGAAGAGTTGTGCCTGGTATATCCAGATACCAATGAGGTCTAAGATTTCCAAGCTAAATTAACAATGGACCAAATTACAGATTTGCAGCTGGTCTTAGACTTTCAGCTCAAGATCACTGAAAGGAGGCCAAGAATGCTTTGTGTGGCTGAGGAATTTGCCTGGTATAGAAGAGAACTTCAATCTTTCCTTGCAGGAGCCCACCAGAAAAGGAAGCAACTGCTAATGAGGAAGATGGCAACTGATCCCCATGAGACCCGTAAATACAGGTCTGGGTCTAATATGCCTGACAGAAAAGGGGATTCTAATCTGGTTTGTGAGAGTTTTGAATGGTTGGGAAAAAAATTAAATTTTGGTTTGTAAAGCAAGGTAGATTGGCAATAATGCAAAAATTTGAGAAGTGGTTCAGTTAATTGCTGGTACTGTGAAAAAACTGGCCATACAAGGATTATTATAAATTTAAGGCAAGCCAGAACAGAGCATAACAAGTATCTATTGAAAGTCTCTCACCCACTTTGGGAAACAGGAGGGACACCAACTTGGCGCGGGAGGGTAAACTTGGAAGTACAAGGATCCCCACAGATTTTGTTAGGATCAGGACAATTAAAAAAACAATGGCAGTTTGGCTGTTGAATGCATTATAGGATCTGTGATGTGCACAGGAACAGATGAATCTGGCACAAACACAAGTTATTAGACCAGACATGCTGCTAATGCTAGGGTAATAGGGGATCCAAAATGGAACCACCTAACTGATGTCAAATAGAGGCAGTTACTGGAGAAAGTGCACCTATCCAAATATGGGGAAAATTGGGCATGAAAATTGGACCTCCGAAATTTGAGCAGGTCTGGATTGCAAAGATAGCAGATGCTAATCATTGGTGTGGGTTTCATTATGACGAATAACTGCATAATAAATGTCAGGAAAGGTGTCTTAAGAAATTTCCACACATTGGATTTTAAGATGTGGCCTAGGTGAAACAATGATTTGTAGATAATTGATTTGCAGTGAACAAGAGGGGCAATAGCCATAGTAACAGCTACATGCTGTGGTAGTTTTCCAGCAAGGAAAAGATGGGAGTTGTTGAGACCTGCTTTGAGACCCATGGTCTTAAGAGGAATTTTAACTGCAAAAGTTTTTGTAGATCTGAGGGAGGAACAGGTTCCTGTTAATTTGCTGAATGTTTCTCATAAACAGTAAATACACAAAAAGGGAACCAAGGCTCCAAAATGTGAACCAGTAGAACTAGTAAATTCCTGGTATAGAAAAAAACTATAAGGGAGAAAGCGGTGAAGCCCCAGAGTTTCTATTGGAGTTCTGGGTAACCCACTTTGGCACACGATCAACGAAGAAGGAATTTCCACTGACAAAAATGAAATTGAGGTTGTGTAAAACAGGCCAGTTCCTGAGACACCCACAAATAAGCATGGTTTTGTAGGGCTCTGCTTCTATTATAGAAGGTTTATTTGTGGGTTTGTCAATATTGTAAAACCATTGCATAGGTTGGGTGAGGAAGGGAAACCATCTGTGGTCAACAGCAGAGTGACTTTGCATTTTTAGAGCTGAAAGAGCGCTCTTGTGTCTGCTCCTGTTTTAGCCTATCTGTGTTTCAGATTGTTTCAAATCTTTCGTATTGGACACAGGTGCTAGTGCCTACAGACTGGGAGCAGTGTTAATATAAGGACCATCTCAGTAGTATCAGAGGGGCAGAATCTTAGCTGGACTCTTCCCAGAAACTGAGGGTGTAGCCGTGGAAGCTGAGGCTGGAAGAGCTTTGACAGTAATGAATTCCCCTTTAGAACAGAATGAGAGAAGTCTCCCCCAACTAGCAGATGCCACAGAAACGATGGATACTTTGGGGAGTCCATTGAATATGGCCTCTCCTGGTTGGCTGAAAGAAGACTGGGAAGTGAGTGGAAAGCTCCATGGAAATTTGGATTGGAGAACAATTGATTTGGGTTGTGAAGTGTCCTGACAGAAAGACACCATGTAAATATGTAATTACTTAAGCTTGCATTACTTTTTAATTTGTTAAATTATTTTCCGTTGTCTGGGACAAGTCAGCCATGGTGGGGTCATTTTAAATTCCATTGGGATGATGAGTAGTGCTGAGATGGAGATATTGTTATGCTCGAAGGTGGTAATGATTGCCATCAAATAGGTCTTTGATCTGTAGACCATCATAGATCTGGTTAAAGCCAATGGTGTGCTTTCAGGCTAAATGGAAGAACCAGAAAAATGCCCATTTATGTAGTAAAATCTGGAAACGATCGGAAGCTATTGCTCTAGGCTGTGCAGTCTGAGGGGTATCCCTGGGACTGATGACAAAGGCAGGAGCTAGGGTTTTGTTTGGCAAACTGTATGTGTGAGAGAGAGTCAGAAAACCAGCAGATAGTGAGAGAAGCAATTGTGAACGTGGCCCTGTGGAAGCAGACACACACCTCCTTGAGTAAAGAACTGACTGGAGAGGCAGACTTGGAAATAGTGAGTAGGGAGACTTGCTGCTGTTTGCTTCTGCTGTGGTCAGGGAAAAAAGACTTCATGTGCGTTCCTTTTAAATAGGATTACACCAAAGAAATACCTGAATTGTATCATCAGTTTATACTAACAGAAACAATGCTACAGTGCCCCAAATATGAGCTAACCACTTGGTCCGAAAGGGACAACAATACAAACAAACCACTAAACAGCTTCTGAGTGTTGTTTGTTACCTCTGCCTGCCAGGTTCTAACATTCTAACTTCGTTTCCGTATTTCTGCATTAGGTTAATTTGCTATTTTGCTTCAGTCTTCACTAAAAAGGTAAATTGAGATGTTTAAACACACTATTAGCAAGGGGGAAGAAACACAAGCCAAAACAGGGAAAGACCAGGTTAAAGAATATTTAGATAAGTTAGATATATTCAGGTTGGCATCACCTGATGAAATTAACCCTAGTGTGCTTAAGGCAGTAGCTGAAGCAATTTCAGAACCATTAGCCATTACCTTTGAGGAACTCATAGAAGATAGTTGAGGTCCCAGAGGTAATAAGTTTGCCTTTCTCTAGTCCTCTCTTGTAAAATGGTGACAAAGACAACCTGGGGAATTATAGATCAGTCAGCCTAACTTCGATACCAGGAAAGATACTGGAATAAATTATTATCCTCTGTGTGCTTACAAACTGATTCTTTAATAGAATTATAAAGAATAGTCAGCATGGATTTGTGAAGAACAAATTGTTCCAAATAACCTTATTTCCTTCTCCAAGAGGGTGACTGGCGTAGTGAATAGGGGCCAAGAAGGCTTTTGTCACACTCCCACATGACATTATCATAAGCAAACTAGGGAAAGGTGGCCTAGATGAAATTATTTATAAGGTGGGTGCACAAAAGGTTGGAAAAACGTACTTAGAGTAGTGATCAATGGTTCACTGTCAAACTTAGAAGGATGTATCTAGTGGTGTTCCACAGGGGTCTGTCCTGGGTCTGGCACTGTTCAGTATTTTCATTAACAACTTGGATACTGGAGTGGAGCGTATGCTTATAACATTTGCGAATGACACCACGATTAGAATTCCAAACAACATTGACAAATTGGAGAATAGATCTGAAATCAACAAAATGAAATTTAGTAAAAACAAGTACGAAACTTTTCACTTAGGAAGAAAAAAAATCAAATGCACAACTACAAAATGGGGAATAACTGGCTAGGCAGTAATACTGCTCAGAAGGATCTGGGGGTTATAATGGATCACAAATTGAATGTGAGTTAACAATGTGATGCAGTTGCGAAAAACGCTAACATTCTGGGGTGTATTAACAGGAGTATTGTTGATGTCACAATATATGTTAGTGTTAGAAGACTTGGGGAGGGAGGGAACCTGATAAGTCTTCAAATATCTTAAGGGAAGTTATAAAGAGAAGGGTAATGAATTGTTCTCTTTGTCCACTGAAGGTAGGGCAAGTGGTAGTCTTCAGCAAGGGAGATTTAGGTTAGATATGAGGGAAAAACTTTCTAACTATGGGGATAGTTAATCACTGGAATAGGCTTCCAAGGGAGGTTGTGGAATCCCCATCACTGGAGGCTGAACAAACACCTGGCACTGATGGTCTAGGTTTACTTGGTCCTGCCACAGTCTTGAGGTCCCTTCCAGCCCTACATTTCTGTGAGTATGATTAAACACAGTCCACTCTGTTCTGTGTGAAACGTCTAAGGGATAAGAAATATTGACTCAGGGCAATAGCAGCAAAACATGTTACCCTTTGGTGTAATATTTCATTGCCATTCCCCTTCAGGTCAGTTAATACTTGTACAACATACACTCAATAATAGTTTTACACCCAGATCCTGCAGATTTGCTTGCATGCTTGCTTGACACACTAGAAGTAGTCCCATTGAAGTCAATGACACCAGTACTCACATGCATAAAGTTACATGTATATGCAAATGTTTGCAGGATCAGGGATTATTTAAGTATCCTTCATAAGAACTGTAACCCAAACAAACTTTACAGAGATAAATACCACTGAGAGGATCAAACATCTTTTTCTCTACCATCTCCCTTTTTGAAGGACGATGATTAGTATTTATAAAATTAAGAGATCTAAACAAGAACAGGAAAATATAGTTCTTAACAAGCAATCTGTACGAGAGAGAGACTTGCTTCGTTGACTGCTACGAAAAATATCACGCCATCAATAATCATGATAATGGAAAATGTATTAAAATCCTCCAAAATCTGATAAGTAACTAATGGGATTGGGGTGGGGATTAGAAATTCTGAATGCAACTGCATGTATCAACAAAGGTATCAGTTATGCAATTAAAGTTCAGTGCACTTAAGTTCACTGAAGCATGATTTTGCTATTTAGTATGTAAAATTTAATTCATTTAAAAATCAAGACCAGAGAGAAAAGCATTAATTAACACACAATACTGTGACTGGCTATATACGCTCAAGTATAGCAGGATCAGCTTAATATTTGCTTAATACCACCTGTGGGGGAAATCTATCCTGTCACTACAGGAGGAGCGGACTACATTTTCATCTATTATCTAACAGCATCGTAGGCGTCTTTGGCACTTTGCACACAAATAAAAGATGCTGTCCTTCCCTAGAGGAGTTTACAATCTAGGTTAAACAACCTGACACAACACAGGGAGGGGAAAAAGCAGGAAACAGAAGAAGCTCACAAAGTCTAATGTTATGAGGTTTCTTGTTTTTGTGTTTTTCCATATTTTGTTGGGTTTTTAAAATTTTCATTTTATTAAATTGGTAAATGGATCTAGTGGATCTGTTCCATCCTTGATATAATAATCCTCAAGTGCATGCTAAATCATGTATTTTATTAATATACTTTTTTTTGTCTTTATTGCTTGTGTTCACAAGAAATGCTCAGACTATTACACAGTGTGATATTTGATTATTCTGAGGTTATGGAAGGTTGTTTTTTTGAAAAATAAATAAAAAAGGTGCGGGGTAATATATGGTCTTTCCTACTTAATGCTGGAGGTTTCTAATGCATTGTTTCTAGGATCCCACCAGGTATATTACTTGGCAGTTGTAGATTATAGAGGTCTATATTTATACTCTGCTGTATTAGCTTGGGAGCTACTCTTTAGGAAAGAAGAGAGCAGAAGGAATACGTAAACTTAAATTATAGGGGATTTGGAAACAACCTTCATATTAAGATTGCCTGACATTTTCCTTACATTATAAAAACTACTGCTGGGCTGGTGGTTTGGAGAGCTACATCACATGAAAATCATAGAAATATAGGGCTGGAAGGAACCTAGTCATCTAGTCCAGCCCCCCTGCACTGAGTGAGGTAGAACCAAGTAAACCTAGACCATCCCTGACAGGTGTTTGTCTAACCTGTTCTCAAAAATTTCCAACAGACATTCCACAACCTCCCTTGGAAGCATAATCCAGTACTTAACTATCCTTATAATTTGGAATTTTTTCCTAATATCTAACCTTAATCTCCCTTGCTGCCGATTAAGCCTATTACTTCTTGTCCTACCTTCAGGGGACATGGAGAACAATTGATTGCTGTCTTCTTTATAACAGCCCTTAAGCTATTTGAAGACTGTTGTCAGGTTCCCCCACAGTCTTCTTTTCTTGAGACTAAACACGCCAAGTTTATTTTAACCTTTTCCTCTGAGGTCGGGTTTTCTAAACCTTTTATCATGTTTGTTGCTGTCCTCTAGATTCTTGCGGAGCACTCTTGTGAGGCCTCAGCAGCGTCAAGGACAGTTACCTCCTGCGTCTTACATCTGTTAATACACCTCAGAATGTTAACCTTTTTTGCAACTGCATTATACTGTTGCCTCTCATTCGATTTATGATCCATTGTAACCCTCAGATCCAGTTTTTCCCCATTTTGTAGTTGTGATTTTTTTTCCTTCCTAAGTGTAGTACTTTGCACTTGTCTTAACTGAATTTCATCTTGTTAATTTCAAACCATTTCTGTAATTTGTCAAGGTTTTTTTGAACTCTAATCCTGCCCTTTAACAGGCTAGCAACCTCTCCCAGCTTGGTGTCATTCATAAATGTTGTAAGCATGCTCTCCATTCCATTAGACAAGCTGTTAATGAAAATATTGAACAGTGATAGACCCCTGTGGAACCCCACTCTAGATCCTTCCTCCCAGTTTGACTGAGCCATTGATCCACTACTCTTTAAGGATGGTCTTTCAACTTTTTAGGCACCCACCTTATAGTATTGTCATCTAGACTACATTGCCTTATTTTGCTTATGAGAGTATCATCTGGAACTGTATCAAAAGCTTTACTAAAATAAAGATATATCATGACGCCAGCTTCCACCTATCCACTAGGACGGTCACCCTGCCGAAGAAGGAAATAAGGTGGTTTGTCATGATTTGCCCTTGACAAATCCATGTTCACTATTCCTTATAACCCTATTATCGTATAAGGGCTTTCAGAATGCTTGTTTATAATTTGTTCCAGTATCTTTCCTGATATCAAAGTTAGGCTGATTGGTCTATAATTCCTCTGGGCCTCTGTCCCCATTTTTAAGGATAGGTATTATGTGTGCCCGTCACTGGTTTTCTGGGATCTTGCCTATCCTCCATGAATTCTTACTGGATGATGGATCCGATGAAGTGAGCTGTAGCTCAGGAAAGCTTATGCTCAAATAAATTTGTGAGTCTCTAAGGTGCCACAAGTCCTCCTGTTCTTTTTGCAGATACAAACTAACAGGGCGGCTACTCTGAAACCTACCGATAACGGCTAACGGTTCCAAAATCGCTGCAGCTAGTCAACTTCATCGGGCACTGCCAACTTGGATGCAGCTAACTTATCTACGCAATCGCTCACCTGTTCGTTCGCTAGGGTGGTTTGTGTTCCTTCCCCTTTGTTCCTATTCTAGCGAGTATGCGGTCCCAGTTTCCTTCCCCCTACGTGGTGGCCAGGGAGCTCTCCCTGGCCCTCAAGGAGAGACGCCCCGGCAGTTTCCTTTGTCTCTCTGTTGCTGCCCGCGCAGGTAGGGAGCCCCGGCTGGCGGCCTTTTCTGCCCTTGCTGGGGTGACTCATTCCGTGACTACCTGGCCTAACGGCAGCCTCGGCCGCGTGAAACCCCGGGCTGGGGGTGGGGGGCTGCCGGGAGGAACGGGGGGTATGTCCGCGGCGCGGGGCCGGTCTAGCCGGGGCCGCTCCTAGGGAAGCCGGCGGCGTCCTCGTCAGAGCGCCCCTGGCTCCGGGGCGACGAGCCCCGCCCGGCCCGCGCTCGGCTTCCTGCGCGGCCCCGGCCCCGGCCCCGGCCCGAGGGCGGCCCCGCTGGCGGCGGGCGGCGCAGCTTGGCCGGCGGGCGGGGCGCTCCCTCCCCCGGCCACATGGGCCGGGAGGCCGGGCCGGGCCGCCGCGCATGCGCCGCTCTCGCCGCGGGCCCATTGTTGGGCTGGGGCTGACGTGCGGGGCGGGGGGCGCGGCTCGCGGCCGCCCCTGGGAGCCCCGCTGCCGCTGCTGGATGCGGGCGGCCGGCCGGCCGGCGAGCGGACAAAGGAGGCGGCGGCGGCCAGGGAGAAGCGGGCGGCGGACTCCGAGCGCAGGCGGCGCTGTCCGCCCCGGGAGAAGGGGAGCCGCCCGCCGCTGCCGGCTGCCCGTGCCTCGGCTCGGCTCGCCAGCATGCCCGGCTCCGTCTACCAGCCCGACGGCGGGGAGGCAGCCGGCTGCCCCGCGCCCTGCCTGGGGCTGCTGAGCGCCCCGCCGCCGCCGCCGCCCGGGCAGCCGGCGCACGAGGAGCCGCCGCGGCTGGAGCCCGAGCCGGAGAGAGGCGGGCAGCAGCCCCTGCCCGACCAGGAAGACGCGGCGGCCGCGCTGCGGTTTGCCCTGGACCAGCTCTCCATCTTGGGCTTGGAGGAGGCGGCGGCAGCAGCAGAAGAAAGGGTGACTGAAGAAGGAGGAGTGGAGGAGGAGGAGGAGGTGCTGGAGATTGGGGATGGAGGGCTGGATGACATGGACCACGGCTCAGGGCTGGACAGGGGAGTGGGGATGCTGGGGGGGCTGCCAATGCTGGATCCAGATGTGAGCCCCCCCACCTCCAGCACCACTTCCCCTCCAGATGTGTTCAGCAACTTTCACCCCCACCTGGGCCACCACCACTCCATCTTGGCTGAGCAGATGAGCATCATTGGAAGCAGAAAGAAGAGCGTGAACATGACTGAGTGCGTCCCTGTCCCCAGCTCTGAACATGTAGCGGAGATTGTGGGGAGACAAGGTAAACTCCAGCGGCCTTTTTTCCTTTTGTTTTGCCCATTGTCTGTAGTCTCCTCCCTCGCACCCCCTCAATTCCTCCACTCTATTATAGGCAGCTTTTCAGCCTTGATACCTTCAGGTAACACTCTATCTAAAATGGAGAAAGGAGGAGATGCAAGTCCATGGGACTGTAAAATAAGCCAAAATATCTCTATATATGTCACTGAAAATATTCCCTCTATATGTACTGAGAGACTTTAATAGATCCTATATATGTAATTAGTGTCTGAATAACTTGTCTTGGGAACCTGAAGACATTGGTAGATTTGGAGAGAAATGGAGACTCCTGTAGCTTAAATACTCCTGGGCCACTGCTCTGTACCACTATGTAGTTAGAAAGGTGTTTGCCTGTCTTTTGGGGGAGACATGGCATGCACAGAAATGTGTGTTCTATGTTTTGGGTTTTTTGTTTTTTTTTTTTCCCCTTAGACACCTATGCCTGGGTAGTAACCAAAAATCCAGCAATCAGAAAGTATGAGATGCACTGGCCCATCCCAGTTTTTATTTGGGTCAGTTTTAGTCTTTGTTTCTTTGTGCTGGAGTGTGGAGTGGAAACTTTTTAGAAATAAAACCCTTCAAACTCTTTCTATAGAGACCCTTTTAATTCTATTTTATGAACAAGCCATCTCTCTGTGTGCCATTTTAAAATGACTCCACATTTGTAAATATTTTGCTAGAGTTTGCTGTTGTCTAAACTATATAGGCCTGCTACACACTTTGTATATTACATAGATACACACCCAGAAAGTTCTCATGTTTACTGGACTTCTCAAGTCTGTGGAAATAGACTATAAAGTCTAAATGACTGTGAAGTAGATGAAAATACTTCCATTTATTTAATTGATTTCTCCCCTCTCCCACACACCCTCTTAAGGTAATATTTACTATCAGCCTTAATTGATCTCAGTTGGATTCTTAATTTCATCTACTAATTTAAAATATGTTAAACACTTGAGATATGAAGTAGCTGTGGAGGGGCGTAGGGATCCCTGACTGCAAAAAAAATCTGTCACAAAAGGACACAAGGGCACGCCTCAATGCTTGTGATACTTAGCTGGGTGTGTGCCGGGTGGGTTTTGTTTCTTTAAAATAAAAATATATTTTAGTCTTTAAAGTTACTTCTTAAAGAAAAACCCAAAATAAATAAAATGGGTATTTTTAGTATCAAAAATCATTGTTGAGATCTGAGTCTTGCCTGTTTGCAAACTGACCTCCAGTGTATTTGGTCTGAGGTGCAGCCTTTCCTCCCTCGTCTTTCTGCCTTGACCCCTGACTGTTGCTTCTCTTTGTAGGTGTGTGGCTCCTGGTGATCATTTCATTTTAATGGATGGGATTTGTGGGGCCCTTGTGCATTTTTCATGGGTGGAAGTGGGGTAGTGTGGCAGCCCCATTGTTCTCTTTGTTAGCTAGAGCCATGCTGTGATTAGCATGATGACATCATACTCTCTGCTTCCCATTGGCCTGCTCCCAGAGCTCCAACCCACTTCCAGGCATACACAGTCCCAATTTATACCAACTGCTCATGCTCAGCCTCAACTTTCTGTGGTTCCCTTTCTAGTATTGTAGGCTGTGCTGAGAGCTTGGGAAGCAGCAAAAGGTGGGCGTGATCGCTGTAAGGATAGTACCTAGTTGACTGACTCCTGGGTAAGGGTACAGCAGGATCTCACTGCTTCTTGGCCAAGGCCACAGGAAGTATCAACTTAATCTCTGATCCAGCCTCTCTTGGGGGATAGATTCAATTATCTAGTAGGTCTTTTCTATCTCTTAACTGTTAGGATCCAAAACCAGAGTCCAGTGCCTATCAATAACTCAGATTTACTGTGTCCTTGGGTGACTGAACTATAGAAAAGCCCCAATCCCCAGTCTCATCAACCCTTATTAAGTTAAACATGTATCTCTCCTTATGTTGCATGCTTCTAGTCCTCCAGGAAATACTTGGTGCAGAGGGAAGCCTGGATGCTTGCTGAACTCTGGGAACTGGTGTGGTTTATGCAAATACGCTGCAAGGGCATTAATAATCAATGTGATTTAGGAGTGGCATGCTGTGACGGAGAGAGCGCCCAGGAATAGCACATACAAAGGCTGAAACGGGCTGGAAACTTGGTTCATAACACTAACAGACTGTAGTTGCTTCCACTATCCCCACCCATTGGGGTAAATAGTTAAATGCCTTTTAATTTTATATTTTCCTGTTTTTTCCTCTTTCCGTGTTCCCTGTCTCCCCCGTCTCCCGGTTCTTCCAGGTAATTTGAGCCCGATTCATTTCTGCTCTGTGGTCCCTTGGTGTCACCTATCTTGGCATAAAGAGGTAGTAGAGCTGGCAGATTCAGCTCTTGAAGGATTCCCCCTGCACAAAGGAATTCCTAGGGTGCCATCAGGTTGGTGCTGCCCTGGCTGTGTGTCACCCCATGGAGTGGTGTCGGGACATTTCCTGGGGAGAGGGGATGTAGCTATTCTCAACCACCAGAAAAGCCCTTGAGACAACTCGTGCAAATTAGGACTGTTTTGAGGCTGCTCCAACCTGCATCAGAGGTCAAACTGGATCTGACCCAGCCCCAGAATAGGGAAGGCACAAAGGTGACTTCACTTCCTCTTGGTCCTGCATCAAGCTCAGCTTGAGTGCGGAAATGAAATCAAGCCCTTCCCATTCACAGGTTGTCTGCTTGAAATTCTTGGCTCTGTGCAGGTCTGTCTTGTACCTTTCCCCAGACATGGGATCTAACTTTCTGCTGTGCTCTCAACACTTTTTGGGAAGTACAAGTAGTGCTCTTGTGGTTTTTGAGGCCCCCTGTGCAAGTATCTCTGAGTGTTTTTTACCCCACCAGAAGGATGAGAGCTATGGTTTTAAATGACTGGGGCTTCTGTGCATAACTGCAGTGTCCTAAGAATCTTTTATGTCTGCCATAAAACTGGTGTGAAATACAAGCTCCAGAATGAATTGGGTACCAAGATCCCTTGATCACTATGGACACGTGAATGTTAGTCCTTACAGTATGCTTCTGTGTTAAAGTTCAAGTCTACTTAAGTAAGATGTCCCAGCAGATGACTTTTCACCCCAGTGAAGTAGTATTACCAATTAAGAGAAAGTAGCAGAGATCGATTGCCAGTGTTCTTTAGTACAGGTGTTCTCAAACTTTTTCTTTCTGAGGCCCCCCCAACAGGCTATAAAAACTCCACGGCCCACCTGTGCCACAACAACTGTCTGCATATAAAAGCCAGGGCCAGTGTTAGGGGGTAGCAAGCAGGGCAATTCACCGGGTCCCATGCCCCAGGGGGCCCCGCGAAGCTAGGTTGCTCAGGCTTTGGCTTCAGCCCTGGGTTGGGGGCTTGGGGCTCTGGGCTTCAGCCCCATGCATTGCGGCTTCAGCTTTCTGCCCTGGGCCCCAGCAAGTCTAATGCTGGCCCTGCTTGGCGCCACCCCCCCCCCACCCCCCACCCCCCAGAGGGCCTGAGACTCCTGTTTGAGAACCACTGCTTTAGTTCCTAGTCTGGGCTAAATCACTATAGGTAACTGATATCTTACCTGAGGGTGGAAAACCTGCTCTTTGCCTCAGTTTCTCTGTCTGTAAAATGGGGAATTATTTTGCCCATAGTCACACAGTGAGCCAGTGGCAGAAATGGAAATAGAATTGCTGTCTCCTAACTTCCCAGTCTGGCGAGCTGACCACCAGAAAACATGGTCTTAGTGCTGTTTATGCATCCCCATCTAACAGGTGAGGAAACTAAGACCAAGAAGTTAACTAACTTTTCCAGGGCCTGAAAGATTGTTTCTGAGCCAGGATGAGAATTTAAGTGTTACTGTCTCCTAGATCTCTGCTTGGACCACTAAACCACACCTCTATGGCTATAATATATTCCTCCTGTGTTACAATTTCATGTGGTAAAGGTACTACCATCTTGGCTCCTAAATCAGTTGTAATAAGGAAAATGAGCATGAGGTTTAATGTGGGAAACACTTTGTTCCCAGGGATGTTTACAAGGATGAATTCACC